GAATAACACCTGAGTGCAATATTTACAAAACAGAAAAGGTCACCTGATGCCACAGAAAATGAAAACGGGAGCACGTACCTCCCCACCAGGGCATCCCTACATCTCTTCCTGGGTCCTCTTTAGAAACCACAAAGACAACCCATGGTTTGCTGCTGGCTTGTGAACCGTGGGTTGATTATGACCAAGCAAGGTTGGGTAGCACGGCTGGGCTCAAGGGGAGGCTAACACAAGCCCCTCGCTCAATGACAGCCCACACCCAGCATTGCGCAGAAACTGCTATGTGGCTTTTGCACCCCACGGGAAGTTCCTGCAGGTGTTGGTTCTTGCGGGGGTCCAGCACACAACAGAGCCCCAGGCTCGGCAGGCCCTTGGTGGACCCACCAAGGCTCCTCCGACACCCTCATGTTGCAATGAACCTCGTCCTGTTTGAGTGAAGACGCAGAGGACTGAGCCGGGGAGGTCCCACAAAGGCCAAGGTGGGGGGGGGGGGCGGGACAGGAGAGGCTGTCAATGCCACCATCACTGCAAGCTGATCGAGGCAGCAGAGCTTCCCGGGCTGGGCTCCTCTTTCCGCTCTTGCGGGAGCAGCCAGCTGTCGCACTGGCTGCCCTTTTGCCCTGTCGCTTTCATTTCTTCTCAGCTCATAATGTCGCATTCTTGGTATCCCCTTTCCCTTTCTCTCTTCGGAAAGAAGTTGCACAGAAAAAGCGAGGAACGGAAGGCCCCGGCAGTTCTCCTGTGCTCTCTCGCAACCACAACCAGGGCAGTGGGCCGGGCTGAGGGGCAGGGGCTGCCGCAGCTCGCCCGGCGCACGCCAGGGCTGAGCGGGGACCGGAGCCCGGGTCCGCCCCGCGCCAGGAAGGCGGGCGCCCCGGGGCTGCAGGACGGGGACTCCCGGCGCTCCCCTGCCTGGACTCTCCCCTGCACTGTCCAGGGTCCTGAAAGAGCCTCGCCCGCAGCGTCCTTCTCCTCCTGGACTCGCCACGCTTTGCCCCCTCACCACCTGTCACCAAACCCCCCCCGAGAGTTTCCCAGATACCCTCCTGCTGCCGGCGCCCCCAGCCACGGGAGAGCCATCTCTTCCTTTCCTTTTCCTCGGGCCGCATCCCAGCCTGCCGAAGGACGGGCCGTGAGCCCCACGAGGACCGGGCATCGTCCTGTGCCCTGCTGGGCCCCTCCCACCTGTCTTTGGAAGGTGCAGCAGGAACCGGGGGCTGGAGGGGAGGCTTCCAGAAAGACACGGTGCCCCTGCTGGGGGCCTCCAGAGGGAGCTGGTGCCTGGAGCTCGGCCTGACAGAGCAGCCACCCTCGGAGGGTGGGCAACGCAGGGTCTTCCCGGAGCTCTGGCTCCTGCCTTGCCGTGTTGCCCCAGAAGCACAGGTCCTCCTTGGCTGCTGCACCTGTGCCCCGCCCGCCTGCTCCTGCTCCAGCGCCGGCTCCCACCCGTCTTTCCCTGCTGCTCGCTGCTGCGCCTGCTGTGGCCCAGGCCCGCACCTGGCCCGGCCTGTGCTGCCCCCGGCTCCTGCCGTGCCAAGTCTCCCGCCCTGTGGTCCCGCCCACCCACTCCTCTGCTTGCCTGCCTGGTTCTTGACCCTTGCCTTGTCCAGATCACGTCCCTGTGCTGCTCTCCCGCAGACGTCCAACTGGACCTTGGCCTGTGCCATGGCCAGGGCCTGGCCCTACCCTGCAGCCCTGCACCTGGGCCCTGTCTTTCCTGGGGCTCTGCTGGAGGCCCCGTTGTCCCATTGCCCTTGTCTTTGCTTGTCTCTGGCCACCCTCCTCCTGGCCGTGGACCCTGACAGGTCCTGGCCGATTCACAGAGGGTGCCACAGGCACGGTCCAAAGCCAGCCGTCTGCAGCCCATGTGGCAGAGAAGCGAACACTTCTGCCAGGCTCCGAAAGAGCATTTCCCATCACCTCGAGTGCCCACCAGCCTTAGCTTCGACACTGACCCCCCAGGCCTCCCTCCAGGGGCCACACCAGATGAGGCAAGCTGAGGGGCACAAGGCAACCTGTTCAGAGATGGCCCCCTTCTGTGGAATGCCCTCCCCGGCATGCCCCGTGCCCACACAATGCCCGTTTGGGGACAGGTGAGGGCCTGCTTCTTCCCCGGCACGTTTTAAGCACTGCCTCCATGCTTCCGGGAAGCTGCACGCCTTCATCTCTGCAGACGGTCCGACCGCGGCTGTTGCGCAAGGCTCCCTGGACTCCCGGATGGTGAGCTCCTGCTATGCTATTGCTACTTTCTTGTGATTCCACATTTTATGTGCTTAGAGAAGAAACCTTCCTTGGTCCACACCAAGCTACGTGTGGTCAGAAAGGGGGCACTGGCCCAGACGGAGCTTGTTGCCAGCTGCAGCGGCCATGGCCCGCATGCTGCTCATACTGGCTGAGCGCCCGGCTTCTCTGCGCCAGGCAACCACCGGGCAGCCACACTGCCTCACTCACAGTGGTTTCTGGGGCCTTCCCACAAAGCTGTCTTCCTCCAGGCCTCCCCGCTCTTGCCTGGACCTTCCATGGTGCTCTTCAAGCACTGAAAGTCAACGATCTCGTTTCCAATTGGAGCCCCCCCTCCCAGCGGGGCCCTTGCAGAAAGACACGGATCGGCTCCAGCGCGACTCGGCCCTGGAGCGCCTTGCCCGTGGCCATAAACTGGAGAGGCAGAGACATACAAACCCCAGGAAAAGAACCAGTGCGGAGGGTGCGTTTCTCCTGAAAATGGAAAAGGCCCCAGGGAAACTGCCGGTTGAGCCCCTCTTCCCGCCTGTGTCAGTTAGCTTGGCCTTTGTCGGTTTGTTTTTCCCGTTGGCGTGGCCTTCTTTCCCTCGGAAGCAGAACCAACCTGCATCAGCTGAGGGCAGCGAGGGCAACTTGGTGCTGAGGCTAGCAAGCCGGCCCAGAGTCCAGAACACCGCCTGTCAGCAAGATCCAGATTGCAAAAAGAACACAAAGCCTAACTAAAGGCAGGCTTTAACACAGAAATTGCTGGCACCGATGGCTGAAATTATGAATCGCGGCCACCGCCGGCTCCAGAAAGCCTGTCTTTGGGCCTCCACACCCTGCACTCCCCCCCTGTGGTGCTCCTTCGCCCTCCCAGTTCACGTTATTCCGAGCCTTTGCGGGGCCGCGGCAGCAACGCTGGGCTCAGGGCTCAGGCCGGCCGGCTCCTCCAGCAGCCCCGAGGCGCCAAGCGCTGGGCTGAGGGCACCCCGCCTGTGGGCAGCCCAGGCAGGCAGCAGCACCCCGTTTTCCAGAAAGCGCCCGTGGGCAGAGCTTGGCGCGTCAGCAGCAGAAGGCGCGTCCAGGGCGGTGAGGCAGCTGGCCGAGGATGCCGGTGGCTGCACAGAGATACCAGCAGGCCTGTGGGCTCATCCTTGTCATGCCACGAACGCTTGCGCTGCGAATAAATCCCCGCCTTCACGTGCCGTGGGGCCCTTTGTGGCTGGCGAATTATTCCCATTGCACTGGGCTGGCCTGAAGCGGCATCTCTGCACCCCCAGCCAGAGGAGCCCCCCCCCCCCCCGTGTCCTTGCACTGGGAACCTGATGGGGCCAGAGGAATTCCCCTTCCGCCTGCCAGTGGTTCCCACTGATGCCATGTGGGGCGGGAACTGGGAACAAAGCCCTTCGGAGGCTCCGTGGCTGATAAGCGCTGGGTTCGGGATCCTTTTATCATGGCCGCTGGTAGATCATTAGCCAAAGTCCTTGGCTCAAGTCAGAGGGAGAAGCCAGCCCTGCCCTGGCCCGCCTGTCGGAAGTCCCCTGCTTGAGAGGCACCACTGGGCACTGCCTCTTGCCAACCATCTCCTGGGTGAGGGTCCCGGGCACGGGCATCTCCCACCGGGCCGGCCGGCAGCTTGGGCACGCTCCTGAGGCTGCCCTCCCCTGATCAAGCGGCTCCCAGGCCTGCCTCTGACGAGTGATCCAGACCTCAGGTACGCCGCACCTGTTTGTATCCGGCCTTAACGCCCAGGAGTCTAACGCGCTGGGGAAGGAGGGGCTTTGTTATCCCCACTTGCAGAAACACCATCAGCCACGTCAGCATTTGACTCAGAACAGACAGACAAGAGACAAACCGGAGCATAGTTGTAAAGAAATATGTCAATTTTTAATAATCAGCTTGCAGTATAAAACATGGGGGAGCTGACAGGTGATACGAGAAAAGGTACACATTCCACAAGTCTCCGTTACAGCATTACAAAGCTCTGCATCGCAAGCGTTTGCACACTTCCCACCCCCATTTCTTCACACCCACACTCGGCGGTTGTTCGTCGCAAGGAGGGGCGAAACCGGGTGGGGAATGGGGAAGCCGCCACTTTCCGGAGCCTCCTGCATCAGCTCAAGGTGAGTGCACAGCAAGGGTTACCTGAGAGTGTGAGCTAGGTGAGCCATCCACGTAAAAGGAAGGCCGCTGGCCTCTGCGCCTCTTGCCTCCTCCGCTTTCAGCGATTTGCGTGAGCGAGGGATTTGCTACGCACCAAAACAGCCTCCCACGCCCTGGGACTTGTGAAGGGGAAGCTGCCATGTGAAGACGGTACCCTGTGATTGAGCTTGCTGAGCCCTCCTGCCTCGAATTCCACGCTTTGCCCTCAAAGCCTGCTTAGCTGGTGAGGCTGGGAGAGCTCCGTACTTGGGGGGGGGGGGCGGGAGGCACTCCGCACATGCTCCGTACACGGTCCCTCGCCATATCACTCCCGAGGACCTAGCGAGGGAGCCGGGCAGAAGAAGCAGGCTCCGGGAGTCCTCCCTGCGCTCTGGATTTCCCTTGGACGGGCGCACAACATCCAGGCAGGACCCCATGCTGCACGGAGCAGCCGTGGCGTGGTGGGGACCCGGGGCTGGGAGCCCCCGATCCCGGGGCTCAGGCACTGGCGCATCAAACCCAGATCCCCACACAGGAGGTGGAGGAGGCGATGGCGCAAGTCGAGAAATGCAAGCGTATTCTGAGAAAAGGACGAAAGAGCCCCTGCTCCCCCCACCCACCCCCCCTCCGGCCTGCAGCTGCAGAGAAGCAGGTCCCACAGTGCCGGCGCTGCCACGAGTCGTATTCACTGCAGAGGTCTGGTCCACGTGTGTCCGGGGCAGAGAAGTCCGGATGCTCTGGAAGGAAAGGGCAGGGCAGGGGAGGTGATGAGGCGCTACAGCAGGTTGCAAGCCCGGGGAACCAGCACACCCGCTGCCAGGAGGCCACCTGGGGGCGGACAGGCATTTGCCCGAAGCCAAGAGTGGGCACCTGCCACCTGCGGAGGCTCATGGTTCCAACACCAGGGGCTCCACAGCCACTCTGGGCGTTAATTTGAGTCCAAGGACGCTTTTCAGAGCATTGAACACCCCCCCCCCCCAGAATGGACAGCCCCGGGCCTGCTAGCACTGCAAACGCCAGCTCTCATGCGCCTTGTGAGTGGCCCGGGATCGTGGGATCTGTGGCTAGAAATGTAGAGGGCACCAGGGGTCCTCTCTCCCCAAGGTGCGCAGGGCAGTGGGGAACGGGACGTGCCTCGGAGAGCGCACAGGCTATTCTGGTCCTGCAGCACACGCCAGGGCGCATCTTTGGGGAGCTGAGCGTTCCACAGGAGCCACGGGTGCGTCTTTGCAAGGGAAAGGGGCAAAAGCCAACGGGCAGCTGGCTTAGCAGAGCTGCTGGGGCTGGGGTCAGATCAGATGGCCTAGGAGACCCCCTCTGACTCGCTCTCTTGCTCTGTTTCTGTATCCAGCTGTGACGAGGGATATACGATACCGGGAAGAGCGTTTCTTCTGGGCCTGTCAGGCTTCCACGGCACTGCCACTCAGGCAACGGGGATCAGACCTGGCTGGCTTTCTTCCCTCGCCGACAGAAGCGTGTGCAAATGGCAGTGCGCACTGACAGCCAAGGCCGCACCTCTGCAGGGCGACTTGTGCACACGGCGCCTTGTCCCCCTCGGGTCTAACCCTTGCCATGTGCTCAGAGCAGGTCAGCACCTCGGCGGGGGCAGGGGGGGGAAGGCCAGTGCCTCTCTCGCCGCAGCCGCCTAGGAAGGCCGGTGCAAATGCTCCCTCGCCCCGCCCCCCTCTGCCATCCCGGCCCTCCTGGGACTGACCTCTCAGGCCCGCAGCCTTCGCTGCTTCAGGGTGTTCCTCCGGTCCAGCGCCTCTTTGAGGGCCAAGCCCCACCTGGAATCAGGAGGGTAGCACAGTCCACGTCCGGCCTTGGTGATCAGCCTGCCTCGGGGGAGAAGAAGGATGACCCAGCAGCCCCCTTGAGACACACCACAACCGCACCCCCCCCCCCAGGAATCTGGCTTCCCTCCCTCAGCCAGTGGGCCTCCGGAAGCTCCCCTTTTAGGGAAAAAGCGCAGCAGCCTGTTCCTCCCACGGGAGCTGCTGAGTGTGGAAATGGGAGGAAGCGTCCGCCAAGGAGCTCGGAGTGGCTTTCCTTTCCTTTCCTTTCCCTCCATCCATCCCCATTCAGCTACCCAGCTCTCCTCCGTTGATTCCAGCCCAGCACCTGCACCTGCTGATGCTAAACAATTGCAACCTGTTTTCTGCATTTACCAGACCTCCTGCCCCTCCTTCGACAGGTGGGGGGCGTCTCGGACAGCAGCCCACTCGAGCTGCATGTGCCTCAAACGGGCAGGGACAGGGTGCTCTGGGGGACTGGCCGGGCCCAGGCCCTGCGCCCCAGCCCGGCTGTGGGCACCTCCCGGTGCGCCGGCCTCAGTGCCCATTCTGCACGACGGGCACAAGAGCAGCCAGCCGCTCAGGCGTGTCGTGGGGGCGATGGAAGTCTGGGAAGCGCGAGTGGCCCAGGCAGCTGGGAGGCAGGAAGCCCAGCGCCAGGGGCTGCTCGTGCCTCCGGCCGGCCCCCTCGGCTCAGGCACACTGTGGACCCTGTCCCGGGGAGGCGGCGTGCCTGGGGCTCCGGGGACTGCACCGCCAACATCTCCGCAGGGCCGGGGAGAGCACCCCGATCCCGGGGGCCCCTTCCCCCTTCCCCGCAGATCAAGTACTCACACGAGTGCAGCGATGGGGCATCCCATTTCCGGCTTCTGGATGATGTAAGAGTCCAGCAAATGCACCTTTTTGACGTGCATGCGGACGTCCTTGATTGCCTCGCAGCAATCGATCGCGCTGCTCTTGCTTCCTGCAGAGAAGAAACCGCACGGGAACCCCTGAGCCTGGGGAGGGTCCCTGCATCCCAGTGGGACCCTCCACGCCACATTCAGAGGGGTGCCGCCAGCTGCAGGCACCACGGCTTGACACAGCCCGGAAAAACTGGCGCCTGCCCAGAGGAAGGTGGCCGGGCCGGCCAGGCATCTGGGAGGACCAAGTCCCGTGATGGACAGTCCAAGGAGGCCTGCTGGGGAGGGCGAATCAAGGGGGCACGACCGGGGCCTGCAGGCGTCTGAGAGGCTGCCATGCGGATGGTGCACCAGGAGGACGAGGGGGCAGCCCTGGAACCAGCAGGTGGACGTGGCAGGGAAGCAGGCTTGGACAACTTCCCCACCCGGAGAGCTGCCCCGGGCACAGCAGGCGCCCAGCCCCGGCCGGGTGGAAGCGGAGGCGGGGCAGCCTCTCGGGGACGCCCGATCTGCGCCCTCCTCCGTGGTGCCGTGCGCCCGTGCCCGGCCCGAGCGGGAGCCTCAGGGCTGCCAGGCAACGTGCTTCTCTGCACGTTTGGGGAGCAAGGAGAGGAGCAGGGCAGGAGGCGCGCGCACTGGGGCAGGAGTCCTGGGCGGGGGCGGGGCGGTCGCGGCCGGGCCAGGCTGCAGCGGGACGGGGCCCCTCCCGGCTCTGGCTGTGCACCTCCCTCACACCTGAGCGCGGCCAGCCGCACTCCCAAGCCAGGGCACTCAGCCCGGGATGTCCTCCAAGAAAGCCGTGCTTTGGAGAGAGGGAGCGGAGCAGGGGGAAGGGGCCGTACCTCGCACTTGAAGGATGCAGAGAGCGGCGGCCAGGAGGCAGACGGCAAGCAGTGGGCGGAGAGCCATGGCGGCGAGGTCGGTCGGAGGCCGGAGGAGCTGCGTTCTGGGCTGCCGGAGGGCTGCGGAGCTCGACTGGGCTTGCTTCCCTTTGCCGCCCCTCTATAAACCCTCCAGGAGGGCTTTCACTTTCTCTTGCCCGGCCTGGCAGTCGGCCCTGCACCCTCCTTCCTGCTGGGACTTGCTGCCAAGCTGGAGCGGAGGTGGCCGGGAATGCTCCTGGCATGCCGCCACGGCCGCGGGAGACCCACCAGAGAGCCGCCCTGTAAGGCCGCTGGGGTTGCACCAGATCAAGCGGCTACGGGGCGACAGCCTCTTTCGCATGCTTGGCTCTGTTTGTTTGTTTGTTTCAGAGAGAATTGCAGTAAGTGAGGTTTGGTCATCCAGCCCTGAATAAACACTGCCCAGATTTCAGCAAGAGCCCTCTCCAAGCGGGGGGGGGGGGGGGGGGGTGGGGGGCCCCCCCCCCCCCCCGGGGGCCCTTTCCCCCCCAGAGGGGGGGGCGGGCGCCCCCGGGGGGCGGGGGGGGGGGGGGCAGGCGGTCGCCCCGCCTCGCCCAAGGCAGGAGGCAGCTGGGCCGGCCCTTCAGCGGCTCTGCATGCGGGTCGCCCTGCGCCTGGGAGCAGGCCGCTTGCCCACAGCCCTGCCCCCCCCCGCAGCCCCTGCTCTGCCCAGCTCCTGCCTGCTGCTGGGCCCCACGGAAGGACCTGAGGGTTCAGGGAGGGGGCTGAAACCCCCCGGGCCGCCCCCCCCCCCCCGTCGCCCTGCAACTGCAGCTGCAGAGCAGGCCGCTCGCCCCGCCGCTCCCGCCCCGGCACGGCCAGGGTGCTGCGGCACCCCTGGTCCAGCCCAGGCCAGCAGGTGAGGCCGGAGGCAGCCTGGGCTGGGACCGGGCTGGGGGGGGGGCAGAGGCTGGCCCCCTCGCTTCCTGCAGGGAATCCTGCGGCTGCACGTGGGCCGTGCCGGGCGCCCGCACCGTCTGCTCGGCCTGCCTGTGCCTCAGCGGCCCCTGAGAACCGCCAGAAGAGCCCTGCTGGGCAGACCGGAGGCCGGCGAGCCAGCTGCCCACAGGAGCCCCCGAGCCGGAGACCATGGGTGCGGCGTGCCCTCCTGCCCAGCTCCGCACCACGGGTGGGCCTGGGCACGCTGCCTCGGACACCGGCGGTGCCCAGCGCCCCGGAAAGCCCTGCTGAGTCCTTGCGGCAGTGGGCTCTGCGGCGTGACTGCTCTGCAAGGGGCTCCTCCCTTTGTCTGGTCCGGAACCTCCCGCCAACCCATGCCAGGTCAGGAGGGCCTGCATGCCAGTTTGACCTGGACTGGCGCCCGCCGGTCCACTGACCGGGAGTCCCTCTCCATCCGCTTGGGAGAAGCCCCACGGGGCACAGTGCAACCTGCTTCTCAGTGGGCAGGCGCAGCTTTGCTCTTGTGAGACAAAATTCCTAGCACATTTTTTCCCGTTCCATTGTGTACTCACAATTGCACACCCCTGTTCTCTGTACCCTGGATTTCCCCGAACTCGATCTGGTGGCATCTGAATGGGTCAAAGTTCGCATGGGGGGGCCATGGTGGGTTATGACCTTTTTGCCCTGCAGAGGAGGGCAGGACATGCCCCAGCGGAGCCAAACTCAGGGAACCGAGGTCCCATTTGGATGCCAGGAAGCACTTCCGGACAGTCAGGGCCCCAAGGGTAAGGAATGGGCTTCCCCGGGAGGTGGTTGAGGCCCCATCGGTGCAGGTGCTCAAGGATAGGCTGGACATGCACACGGTGGGCATGTCGTGAGCAGAGCCGGCTGGTGCCGGAGATCAGACTAGATGGCCCGGGAGACCCCTTCTGACTTGCTCTGTTTCCGATTTCTGTTTCTATTGCTCTCCTGGGTTGCTTTTCGAGAAATGAAACTGCATGTCCCCAGTTTCAGAGTATGACTGAAAGAAACTGCAAAGGACTCTTCTTGGATCTCTGTAATTACCAGTCCAGCGCTATTAAAGCCAATTTATTTGGGAGATAACCTGTGGGCTTCTGCACATGAGGCATGTATCATGTGGCCAGGGTGACTTATTTTATATTGTAAATTCGTTTTATATTTTTAATGTATTATATTTTAATGTTTTGTGAGCCGCCCCGAGACTTCGGCGAATGGGGTGGCATAGAAATTTTCTAAATAAATAAATAAAATAAAATAAAATGTGCACATCATTCTTTCTTCACAGCTGGTTGCAGGCTATTCGGGCCACCTCGCAGTCCTCCAGTTTCGCTCTGACCTTCTCAGAGCACTTGTCTGGATAGTCTTCGGAAGGCGGAAAATGAGCTTGGACTTAACACGGGAAAGGCACTCGATGGCTCGCCTCTTGCATTTGCGCGATCCCACCATTGCGCAGCTCCACCCAGTGGTGACACGGGGGAAAGCAGGAAAGGCAGCGCTTTTTGGGTAGGGCTGGGGTCTCAACGCGCGATCAGCAGCCCGTGTAGCGAAGCCACAGGCCCCGATGCCTTCCCTTCCTCCTCTTTGCATCACTTCCACCCTGCGCTTGTTTGGCGGGCAGGCGAGGGCTGGGGAGCCGAGCTCGGGGCTGGCACCTGAACCTCTCCCGGGCACCGTCCTGCAGGCCAGAGTGTGAAGCGACGGGGCACGGGGAACAGGCGCAGCGGCTCCGGGGGCCTTTAAGAGCAGGCCCCGCCGGGCTGTGGCCCTTGGCAGGAGCCAGGTCTTGGCCCCAGCCCTCGACCTGCAACTCCAGAGGCTTTGTCTGCAGCCGCCTCCTTCTCTGATCCGGAGGAGGGACGAGACGGGCGGGTGGGGCTTGCCGTGAGGTCCCCTGGGCCTAAATCGCTCGGGGCAGCAGTGGGCCACGAGCGGCATGGCCCGGCGCCAACAGTGCCCGCCTGCCGTCTTGGCCTGGGGAGTGAGCGGTGCCACGGAGGGGCCGGCTCCCACTCTCCAGGGCCACGGGCCCAACCTGAAGCGCCACGGCAGCTGCAGGTGACATCGCAGAGCTCCTAACGGGGCTCTGCCAGCTCTCCCTTGACTTCTCGCTAGTGGAGTTCAGACCTGCCTGGCCACCGCTCCCACACTAGCTCCTGCTCCAAGTGCCCTGAAAGTTTGCCCAGTTTTAAAGGTGTGTGAGAGTTCGTCCCAGCCCAGCTGCTTCCCACCCACAATCTCACAAAGACAAAACGGAAATGGCAACAGCCAGTAGAGTTTGATGCGTCTCCAAGCCAAAATCCTACTTTCGGGAGAGTTACTGTTCATCAAAGGACTGGAATTCATCACAAGAGTTCAGATGCCCTTTGATCTTTTTGAAAAGAGACAGCTCCCTCCTGGGAAAACTGCTGCACTCTGCCTCATGCACACGAGCTTCCCAGAAGCGTTTGGACGGCTGCTCTGGGAGACACGTGGCGAGCAGACAAGCCCTCTGGTTTCGTCCAAGCGTGGGGCTCTGGGGCTCTTCCGCAGGAGGTCCTAGCTGTGAACCAAGCGTTGAAGCTGTCGTGCAGCCCTGCATCGACCAGGGTCCGGGCCGGGGCAAGCGGAGAACGCCGCCTCAGTGCAAGGCGCCCAGGGAGGCAGGATGAGGCCCGCTTCGCCCGGCCTGGGGCCTCCCGGATGCCTTGGATCGTAGTTTGCGAGACTCCACCTGGAAGGCACCAGGCGGGGACGGCTCTGCTGGCCTCTGGCCCAAGGACCGCTCAGCTCCAGCCCACAGAGGCAGCCCCTGGGGAACCAGGTCTCCTGGCGGATCCTTTCCACCGCCGTGGCTTCCGCTGGCTCTTGCGTGGAAGAGGGGAGCTGCTCTGCCCTGAATCCACACAGCAACGAGCCCGTTCCATCCTGTGGCACCCAAGCCCATGCCGACACCCCCCTGGTGCCCCAAGGCTCCTCCAACCAATCCCGATTTCACTGCTGGGGGGCACCCAGCTTCTGGCCTTATGAGAGAGGAGCAAGGCCCAGCTTTGCCCACTCCCTTCCTCCCGTTTGCACTTGCGCAGGGTCCCACAGCACCCTCCTCACCCCCGCTGAACACTCCTTTCCCCCGGCTTACAGCCCAACAGACCGGCTCCGTCCCACTTCTGCCCCCCACCCCACAGGAGGCTCCCACGGTCTTGGCTGGGTAAGCCCCTCGCCCAACCCTCGCGGGGGCAAGCGCTGCTCCAGAGGCCCGGAGTGGGTGGGACCTGGGCTGGTGGCGGGCAAGGCACTGGGCCGAGGGGGGGGGGGGGGCTCGGCGGTCGTCCACGGGGGGAGCCGGCCCCTCCGCCCTGCCGAGGAGCCCCATTGGATCGGAGCGGCGGGCTCCTGCCCAGGCACCACCCCGCGAATCTGCTAATCTGCCCACGCGTGTGGAGCTTGGGGGTGAGTGCCCGGGATGCCCCACAGTGCAGGCGCGCGGCTCCAGCGGCCCCCGCTCCTCCGCTCAGGCCTGCGGGTGGTGGGCCAGGCAGCCGCGTTTCGCGCCTTCGGTTCCGCTCTCGGGCGCGGGGCTCGGCTGGGTGCTGCGCCTGCCCTGCCCGGCCCGGCCCGGCCCGGCCCGGCCCTGCCCTGCCCTCCCCACCCCGCCCCGCCCCGCCCTGCCCTGCCTGGCCCGGCCCGGCCTGGCCCGCGCCGCCTCCCGTGCCGCAAAGCCCCGCGGAAGGGGCGGGCGGCCAAGCACTCGGGGCCAGCAGAGGGGACGCAGGGCGCGCTGCATCGCTTGGAGAGCCACCGGGGCACCCTCTCCCGGGGCAGGCGGGTGACTCGGCGCAAGGGCACCGGTGCCACGCTTCTCGGAAGGGCCCCGGGCGCTGCCCGCCAGGGCTGCACCCTGGATCCGGGGCCGCACCACCCAGGGGCCGCCGGAGGATTCCCCGGCACCTGCCCCCGGGCGCACTCGGCCACTGCAGCGGCAGGAGCATCAGAAGCTGCCTGGTGCAAGGGGCGCCCCCCCCCCACGTTGCTGCCTGTTGCCCCGTGGACTGGTGGTGGCGGTTGTCCGGCTGCCCGACAGGCCTCTCCAGCCCTAGCTGCCATGCTTGGTGTGGGGCCTTCCACATGCCAAGCAAGGTGAAGATCAGAAGAGCC